TCGACTTATAATATAAGATCGATCCTGTAACATATTTCACATTTTTCGCATTCGAACGAATGCCTTTGAATATAAAAATTCGATAATCTGCAAAGTGAATCTACCGCAGATGCCTGATCGAAATTCCTTTGTAATATCGTCTCTTTAAGTGTGATATAAAAAAAAAAAGCACGAAAGACTTTTCCTCGCGAAAGTATATATATACTGACATATTTAGGTGCAGCGTAGGCGTTGGAAGTACAGTTTTAACGGCAGATTATTAAAAAAAAAAAAAAAGACTAGAAAGTATAAATAAAAGCAATCGAGCAACCGACCAAATAGTCGAGAATGATCAATCGAAGGTGATAGTTTACAAGAAAGCCTTGGCCTAAGGATGAAGCCCCAAATATGAATTGAATTTGCGACCTAGTGATTTTTTTTTCTTACTAGATCCAAGGTCGAGTAACGATAGATCCTTCGAGAAAGGTGAACGAATCGACGAATAACAGTATTTAATTTAATGGTTCAACGGTATCTAAGTGAAACGAAGGATACTCAGTTCCGACATGAAGATATAAATATATATATATATATACATATTTATTTATCATAGAGATGTTTATCGAACATTAGATTCGACGTGTTGACCAAATCATTTTTTAATTCTTCGATTTTAAGTAATCAATTTTATACGAATCATCGGATTAAAAAAGAAACACTGAAATGAAAAATTTTCGTTTAATTTATTCGATATTTTTTTTACATATATATATATCGGTTTCTTTTCTTATTATACTTTCTGAAATATGTAAGATAAGAATTTTGAATATACGAGTAAACTGATACGAACTTTCGGACAGTTGTAAAAAGATACACTTGTCTGTGCTTTTCTTGTATATTTCGTGTTGTGATACTATTTGCTGTAAAAATCTAGATACTGAGTCACGTGACATATATTGTAACGATTACGTAACCACTTGTAATAAAAGTACACATGCGTAAGAATCATCGAAACGTCGAATTAATGACCCTCCTATTGACAAAATATTCTAGAAATTTCTTTAACGAAATAAAAAAAAAAATTTATTTGTTACTCTACGACATCTCGTATTTTCAATAAATCTATAAAAAAATTTCAATACTTCGATTACTACTGTGTTCTATCAAGATAGAATGAAAAATCTTTGTAATTTTCCTTTATAAAATAAATCAAAAACATTATCGTTACAATAATATTTATTTAATTTGTCTACTTCAAAAAAATAAAGCTAGACAATGCCAACAAAATACTCCTAATTCCACTAATCTCAACAGACACGCGGTCTGTTGCCCCACGACGAAAATCAAAGATCCCACCATCCCGAACTACTTTAATTTCTGTTTATTTAACAGAGGGTCGAATCGAAATTTGACGCTAACCCCCGAGTCACGGTGGTTGTTGCATAAACGTACATATTTATTTATCACCGTATAATCCCTGACTTTCCCTCGAGGGTTTTGCCACATGGCAGTTTGACGGTCCCCAACGGAATTACCCCCACAGCCGCTTATAAATTACATCGTGGCTCGAGCAAGGTTTAAGGGCCTGCTTAAGTTGTCAAAGCAATCGGAGAGTTAAACGCCCTGGCACGGAGGGAGGGAGGAGGGGTGAGACTTACCCTTAATACTTTTTCGATCGTTTCCTCGAATCGTTTCCTCATCTGAGAAATCACTGCTCGATATTTATTCGATTATAGCCGCCTTTGTACGATTCTCAAATATGCGTGAACATTCGCGTTTTTCTAATTACATGGAGCGCGGATTTGGAGTTATTGGTAAGAAAATTAACCGATTAAAGTAAGTCCTTGATTCTTTCAGGATTTAATTTTTTTGTCCCAATTACGATCGAAAAATAAATAATTATAATTTCACATCACTCTTAAATTTGATAAGCCAAGCGGAAAAAATCACTGTTAAATTTGGACTAAAAATATATGATGTGAAGTGAAATTTTATCGTGAGAACGGTGGAGAAAGAACGATACTAAATGGTACTCACAGATACTCTGAAATTGTTTCAGAATTCAATTCCGTTCGGTCCATATCCGGGGATCGATTCCTAAAACACGCGTTTGCTTCGTGACGCCGCCAACTTTCAAGTCGAGTATCCTCACGGCACGTAACGAATTTCGATATCTCGGTTCGAGAGCGCAAAGAGAGAAAGGGGTTGGAAAACCGGCAGGGTTATGCCTGTGAGAGCATTCAGAGGAGAAAGGATGGCTGGTCATGGTATTGACTCGCTTTTGCGGATACAGGGGCGGAGTTTTCGACCTCTCTCCCTTCCTTCTTCCACCTTCACCCTCTATATATATATATATACGTGTATCACTCTTCATCCCTTTCTTTTTCCTTCTTCAACTTCCCTCCCTATAAATATACTCTCCGCCTCATACCCTCGATCTCTTTTCTCCTTTCCTCCACGATATCCTCTGTTCAACGAACCAACCTTCCTCTTTCTCCCTCTTTTCCTTTTCCATCTATTCCCAAGCTATCTCCTCCTCACCTGTTTTTATCCCACTTCTTCTTTATCTACGTATAATATATCCATCTCATTCTCAATTTCTGTTATAGTGTACGAAACAGAGGCTTCGCCGTCTCTCTCTCCCTCTCTCATCCCCACCGAGCGGAACGTCGGGGTCGAAAGGGGATGACTCGTCGCACAGGGCTGTCAAACCCCCTCCCACGCAACGACAAAACTCCCGTTGAAGGGTGACCCAGCAATGGCGGCGGGACTTGTTGTATTTCGCTTTCGAGGTGAGCTCCATTCCCTTCTACCTTCTCGATCCCCCGTGCCAACCCCTCCAGGGTCCAGGAGAGGAGGAAATGAAACTGAGCGAGCCGAAGTGAGGCGGAGAGCGAGTGACTCGAGTCGACGGGAACG